CAAATGCTCTTTTTTTTAGCTGTATGGTTCCCAGTGCATGTGGCTGAGCTAGACAAATGCTTCCACTGTGTGATCAAATACGAACCTACAACGGATCCCAGACATCCGGTGAGCTCCTTCCTCTGTTCGCAGTCCAAATGGTCACTTTGCTCACCGATAAATTCAATGTTCACTTCGGTGAATGGCGTTTCTATGTGAAATTATATTGATATTTGTTGTTCATTTGAAGGGATATGGTGATAAGGAGTATATAGAACGACGAGCGAAACTGAACGATGTTGCCAGAGTTTACAAATAGTTAGTTGCTTGCAAAAATTTGTAATCAAATGTGCTAGTTGAAGGATTTTCGTGAAATCAAGATCTTATGAATTAAACTGCAAACATACATAAATTCCGATACTGTTCTAAAACTTATGTGAGATTAGTGACGGAGGAATTTTGATTGACCTTACTGCTCACAACGCAGCAGAAATTTTTTCTCACCTTATGCCTAGTGCTCTCCAGTTTCGGTGAGAGCTGCCCGTTCGATGCTCATGACAAACGTGTACTTACGTTCATTCCTTCATTGTTCACTCTCAGATTTTGCTCGCGTGCTCATAAGTCCGTTGCCAGTGTTTCAGATACAACCAATTAAAAGCAATTCAAGCACCTCTCAGAGGCAATATGAAAAAAAAGTTGGCAATAAGTGAATATTCAGTGATTTCATTAGCTGAACATCAGTTCATTTTGAAATATTTCACTGGAAAATGTAGAATCACAAAACTGATTGTTTTCAGTGGTGAACCATTACCCGAAATTGAGTATACGGAAGCAGAGCATAAAACTTGGGAAATTGTCTATCAGAAACTCAAATCGCTACAGTTGACACACACTTGCGTTGAATATCAACGTAATTTCACGCAAATGGAAAACGATGGGCTTTTCGTGGCAAATCGCATCCCGAATCTCGCAAGAGTGAACGACTATCTTCAAAGTAAGAACAATTTCTTCCGTTGCACTCAATAAGGAATCGGAGAACATGAGACTAGTGTCACAAATGACTGATCGTGATTATAACATGATATATGACAAATAATTACCTTCCATTGGTCACCTACTACTCAGCGAATCTGCCATTGAGATGAGCTATCAATATTCGTCATTATGAACTGTGAAAAAAATTCATAACGTCATGACTCGACAACTCGCTCCTTTCAACTCTAACCCTGTTCAGGGGGGGGGGGTGAGTAATGACAACCTGCCAGATAATCGAAGAGGGTACTGGAGCATGCGAACGTGGGAACTATTGATCCACAGTAAAATGAACTGAAAACTGAGATTGAACCATAGGCTGTTTGAATCAACAGCAACAGGATATCATATAATATGGGTTAATGCGAGCGTTATGTGAAATGTTCATTTGATATGAGATGCTTCCGCTCGATAATCCGTCTGTTCATGAAAGAATGTCATTAGAGTGATATTATTGATAACAAGGAGGCATGAACTCCTATTGAGTTCGATTTGGTGATTGAACAAATAAATATCTTTCTGTTCCCGTCCATGATATGATGAATTCGGATGGATGAGTTTTGGGTTTCAGGGAAAACCGGTTTCATGCTTCGTCCATGCAGTGGACTCCTGTCAGCCAGAGACTTTCTTGCCAGTTTAGCATTCAGAGTATTTCAGGTACGTCAACTTCTCTACTTACTGTTCATTCGCGCATACTAACTGAAGTATTTAAAGTATATCAAACGTTTAATATTGAACAAAATGCAAACTTTAATATTGTGATGAATAATTGTTATTTCACGGTTTCA